GCTTGGCCAACCTACAATCTGACCCCACATTTTTTGTGATCCGGACTGGTGTGCAAAGTTTGTGTCAAATGAGACGAAGTATGATAGAGGATGGCGGTCCCATAAGTTGATTGTTGGTGGTAACTGGTACCATCCTTTTATGAAAGACGTCCAGTCTCATTCGGAGTTCTCAGTAACTAATCTCTTTTTTTAGCTTTTTCTTTCATTTTTCCTATTTTGTCTTTCTTTCTGATTTTCCTCGTGTTTGTTTTTTTTTTTCCTTTGAAAAATTCTTCTTGTAATTTTTGCCATTGTTTTCATCTTTTACTTGTTCCTTTTTTAATTCTGCAACTTCTTTCTTTTTCAGGACGATATAAATAGGAATCAATGCTGGCTTGCGAAGCTTTTCTTCGTTCACTGGCCAAGGATGCCAAGAAATATTCTTGCCCTGATTTGCCCTTATCCGTTGTCATGCATCTTTCTGCTCCTGGTTATATTGATTGGCATGATTTCCTCATTGGATCAGAGATCACAAGCTTTGGTTTAGTGTTAATCACAAACCATGTTCTTCTTGCACTGTTTCTTTGGTTCCAGATCCCCTTGCTTTCCCGCTTTTTCTGCTGGTAATGATCGCGGTGATGAACATGGTGCCTCGTCTTCCTATCCTGGTTGCACAACTTTTGACTCTTCAAACTATGAGGGGTTATCTAAGGTTTTTTGTTTTTCCTAGTCTCATGTTTTCCTTCTCACACCTTTCTTTGCTTTTTAAAATCTTTTCGAGTTTTTTAACGGATTTCTTACCCCTCTGGCAATGATCCTTTAAAGTCTTCAAGTGGTTTACTGAGTGAAAAAGTTTGCTTTGTCATTGAGTTTGGGTGCTCTACTCCCTTTTGAAGAAACTCATATGGGTCAATGGATACTCAATTGTGTGGCATCTTCACTTGCTGGCAATCTTCCAGGTTATTGTCTTTTTCTTTTGCTTCTCTTGTTTATGCTTACTGTTTTCTTATGCATTTACTTCTTCTTTACTTGTTTTGTTATATTTTCTTGGTTCTAAGATTGAAGCGCCTTATGCTGAAATTAGTAACATAGGACTTAGTAAATATGATAATGAAAATATTCTTAAATAAATTTTCTTGTAGGGATAGGATGAGAGCAAAATCATGGTAAAATAGAGTACAATACAAAGTTCACATAAGCAGAATTTGATATTGGTCAAGGGCCATGGAATTCATTTTAATTGTATGCGTCTTGGGAGATGAGCAGATGTTTGAAGGTTGCATCCCATAAGCAATCACTTTTTGCAAAAAGGTAAAGGTTGACAGCATCTCCCAATATTCATGCAAGCATTTTTCTCACAAGCCTGTTGTTATTTCCCCTCAGGGCCGGCGTCTTTAAAGCAGAAACCTCATTCTCTTCTTTCTCTGCTTGACCAGATTTCTCTTGATTGATTTCAATGCGTTCCGTCTTTATAAAGTCATTTTCAATTATCCAAAAAGGATCCCTACAGTACTGTTCAGTATTGCTTACTCTGCCTCATGTTCTTTCTTCGAAGTTAATTCTTCACTTCCTCCAGCTGTGTCTTTCCATCCTAATAAAACGTCAAACAGATATTAGATAACTGCAGTGAGCATTTGGGAAAATACCCTGCAAACATTCAAATATGTTGAGAAATGATTAACACCACAAGCATAAGTTGATAGGAACTGGCTATCTATGTTGTCTTGTACACTGACAGACCACCTTACATCTAGACAAATTTAATAAGTGGAATTGTTACATTTGGATCCAAACACAGCCCACTTGCTCATAATCTAATAAATAAACTTCCTAGTCAACCTAGCTTTGGAGGAAATCACAGTCCAAAATTTTAAGCTAATAAGAAGAACCCCAAAAAATGGCATTTAAACTCCTCTGAATGGTTCACAATATTATTACACATAATATTCAGCCAAACAGAATTAAGAATACAAGTTAGAAGCTAGAATTAAATTATGGTTAAAAATAGACTATCAAACCCTTATGGACTTAGAAGCACATGTACCATGTAACCTTCAACAAAAGCATGATGGTACCTTAGCCCCTTCTGTGAATATGATATATGGTCATGGCCATCTGCTTCTGACACATCTGATAGAAATGAACATATATCCATCCAAAGGAAGCTGAATTGGAATAAGCGGCAGCTCATGGTTCTCCAACTATAAATATAGACTTAAAAATCAACTAGGATTATGGTTTTGTTGTTACCAGAAAATGTTCAGAAAAAACAAATACTCTCATGACAGTATTGATGTCAAAATGTCCGTCCAAAGGAAGCTGCTTGATCTTGTTCAGGAAGTACCCTCAAACAGGCAAAATTTCAACCAATACCCTGAAACAAAAAATTGCTATCACAACTGAGATTTCTAAACCCAAGAACTTTATATATCTACTCAGATGTATTTAGATTTACATGCTTTTGAACATAAAAGAGGGGGCAAAGCAAAGGAAACATAATGATACATCTAAATCAGAACATAATTAATACAAGCATTGAAGTCTCATTCAGAACTACTTTCATCACACCGATCTAAATCAGATAAGGGGCTTCCTCGTTACAAGTATTGATCGTTTTCCATTAAATGTCAGGCAAAGCCACCCGTACGAATCATTCGCTAGGTAAACCATCAATGGTTTCAAAGATTTCCGTATTAAAGCATAAACTAAGAAATAACAACTTAGGATTACTTTTGCTATTACCAAAAAATGTTTGCATAACCAACAATGGGTTGGCCGAGTGGTAAAGGCTTGGCCAAGGGGTTTCTCCTCTGTAGTCTCAGGTCCGAATCACAAGAATGACTGCTAATATTTTGGTCAAGGACAACAAAGCTTTTTTTGTTTCGGAAGCCTGTTGCGGGGTCGAGGACTAGTCAGCTGCGCTTACTGGCCTAGACACCCTCAGTAACAAAACAAAAAAAAAAAAAAAAAAAATGTTGCATAAAATACAGTCCCATATCCTTATTTTGACAACTATTTTCTTTGATCACCAGAAAAATATCACTCATCTGCTACACCTATTGAACATTATGAACATAATTACCTTATATGATACATCTAAACTTAACAATCTAACTTAGAAATCGTGAGCAAAATTAGATAGAATAGGTTAGAAAGAAAATTAGAACTTACTCTCTCTCTCTCTCTCTCTCTCTATATATATATATATATATATACACACAACAAAGTACAAGATATAGGTTTTTCCCTTTAGAGATCAATTGAATTCTTCAAGTTATTAAAGTTGTGGTTCATCTTCACATCAGAAGTGGCCACTTCCATTGGGCTTTGCCCCATCATTGTTAACAGGGCTTTGTGTAGTTCTGGCAATGACATCCATTGTTGAACCATCAAAAGTTTGAGAGAATTCATTAGCACTTGGATTGAACTCTTCCACTTTTTCTCATTTAGCAGAGGCACCCCAGACCTTTTTCACATAAAATTGAATCCAAATGGAAAACAGAAGCTATTAAACACATGATCAAACATATAATGAAGAAATAATCAAACAGTTCATGTTATATATAGCCAACTGTGTATATATACACTAACAAATCGCTTTATTGTAAATTACAAGATCTTTCCCATATTCAAAATTTTGAAACCGTACATTAGAAAAAGAAGAAAAGGATCAGAATCAACTCTCTAGTCTTCATAGAGTACATTTTGATGACACATTTTAGCATAGGTCACAGCAAAATTTAATTTCTCTGACAATTAATTTAGAAATACAAGAATATAATGTTTCTAATAGAACTTCGTACATGGTAACGGCACGTTTAGTTTTTTGTTTTATATTGTACTATTAGTTTTTATTATTTTTAAATAATATTATTTAAACTAATTAATAAGAGGATAAAATATGAATTTGCTATAATATAACATAACCTAAACTCACCTTTCCACGTTTATTGGTTATGTATATTAACCACATAAACTTTCAATTAGTAAATACAATGAAAAAATTTAACCATACATATGTTTTCTAACATACGCATATCATATGTGCCTAAGTATAATTAATAGAACATAAGTTTTGAATTATTAAGGCAAATTATTTTTTTATTTTGTTTAGTGCACATGGTCAGTGCGAATATTATCAATTATCCAGAGACTCAATTATTACATATAATTCAAATTACATAAAAAATGCAAATTAAAAGCTTTAAGTTTGATAAATAACTTGAAATCCATGTTACTGTAATAGAAAATGTTTCCTCTTTGATAATAATGACCGAAAGGTTATTCCTCTTGATTTCGACATAACACAAAGTAAAGATACAAATTAAATGCAAATGCATACTAGCATTTTAATTATAGTTTCCCAGTTAAAATTGCGACTAAGAGGAAGATAATCACCATAGCAAATAAAATTGAGAATTATAAAAAATAAAAGAATGACAATGACAATACATAAAATAATCACAATAACATTAACGATGTAGTATTATCATTATTTTATCATTATTATTTAGTTAAATTTAATTTTTCCCTTAACAATGGTGATGGCTGACTGAGAGTTTATTATTTTTTAACTTTTAATATGAATCATGAATTACATCTACTTAATTTTACTCACTATGAACCTCAGATTCCCAATTCATATAAACATATATTAAATGATATGACACCAATATATAATCATTCAGAAAATTAAAGAGAAAATATGAGGTCACAAAAACTATAGAATTAACTAAACAAAGCGAAATCTAAAATATATTCTTTACCTCATCTGGATTCACCATAATAAAATTTGGAGATTTCAGTCTCTTAGAGATTGGCTCCTCTAGCTCTTCCTCATAATCAGAGATGAAGCGTCTCCTGGATCTGGATTCTTCCACTGCCTTCCCCCCCATAATCAAACACTTTTTTATCTTGCAATACTCTGATGTTACATTGTGCCATAAATCATGAGTTGCTTTGAAGATCTGAGTCCTCTCTATAAATGTAATTGTAGTTGTAAACAAATTTTCATATCCCATGTATAGATTATCTGACTCAATATGGTTGGATCTACAGTGTTTATCCAAACCCCAAAAATCCAAAGGCAACCTGCTTCCAACCATCTTGACATATCACGTGCAACTCATACTCAACATTCAATGGTCGCTTTTCAAAATGATAATTTTGGAATTCTAAAACAACGCAAAAGGCAGAACCCATAATATGATCAATGAAAACTGTGGTAGCTTTACTAAGATTCATTACTTTGAAAGTTAAACCACTTTGGAATTTCGCTTCCAGAATAGTAATATAACTCCTTAGCGTGTTATGGAATCCCTGTACCATGAAAGTAGTTAGTTTAGCATCGTATCTCTTTTACTAAAAAACATAATGAAGAAATTGAAATCAATTGAAATGAGAAGAAGTGAAAAAGACCTTTCTGCATTTAATTTGTTGAAATGATTTATGAAGCTAACTCCACTGTCGACATGATTTGGTAAACATGATAATGCCTGCAATCGCCACAACCTTGTGAAAGGTCAAAATCATTCATCTATTATGAGAAGGAAAAGAAGATTTCAACCATAGATCTTGCGATATGATGATGAATAGCCATACCTCTTTCTTGAAAAGAGGGTGTCTTCCAAGGCCTGAAGTAGCATTTGCAGAAGCGGAAACTTTATTAACCAGAACACAGTGTACCGTTTTTCATGAGTAACAACAGAAAACAGAACAAGTTATGATTTTCACTGTCATCCAATTAGAAAGTAGCATAGAATGTAGTAACTGTACGTAAAATTAATTCTGACTCCAAGTAAGATAAAGTTAGCAAACACCCGTTACAGCATGGAAATCTTATTGAACAGTATACACCAGTAAGCATGTGACCTTGGAATACAATGTAAAAGAGAAGGTAATGTGTGAAACTGAAAGATAATACCACTTGAATGTCCATAATGCATCCACAAGAGTATCAACACTTATGATAGAGCTATGGAGATTCCATCAACAGGTCAGAAGCTAAAAATTATGGTAAAAACATGAGCATCCAACACCTTAAAAGAAGAGTAACAAGTGTGGGAGCATTTAAATGCAGTTAGAAGGTTAATCGATCTGCTTCTACACAACTGATTGAAGATGAACATAATTAAGAAGTTTAATAACTGATAAATCCTGAAACAATTACAGCTTGAATGTAAAAGAAGTAGCAACATACCCTCTTGACATTATTGATGTCGAAATGTCTGTCCAAAGTAAGCTGCTTGATCTTGTTAGGAAAAGTCCCCTCAAAACTTGCAACAATTTTCCAACCGGAACCCTGGAACCAAAAATTGCTATCACAGCTGATATTTCTCAATATAGGAATTTCATACATCTAACCCGAGATTTATTCAATTATACATGCTCTGGAACATATAAGAACAAGATAATGAAAAGAAACAGGAACATAATTACAAGCATTGAAGTCCTATTTACACCCACTTTTGTTACGAAGATCCAAATCATATAAAACACTTCCTAATGCACTAGGTACACATCAACTAACAAAGAATTTGAGGAAAAACAACTGCTTCAGGGACCAAAAACAAGCAGTAATTTTCTTTCATTTGATATAAAGCAGTAATGAATGGTTAGCAAAAAAGATAAGAAAATTAACACATATATGAAATAGCTGTCCACGAGAACCAAAAGAAAAAACTCATAGGTCACCTAAATATCTTTGTACCAAAACTGAATCAAAAGAGAAAAGGAGCACAGCACTTAAACATGCACCTTCTCTCTGGAACAGAGAAGGATTTGTTTGAAAAATCCTTTTTATACAATCACTCTAATCCCTGCCAGCTTCAAATCCAGTAGGAAGGAAGAGCTTTGACCTCTTAGTATTCATTAAGAAGCTTCCCACAAAACATAAATGAGCAAGTAACTTTATTGGAACAAAGAAGGCATTTGATAACACGTTCCTCATATTATGTCATTTTTTTTCCCCCTTGAATTCTTTATTTAAATTATTAAAAAAACAGTCAATTATGATATTGGCGTGGACTGAACAACAATTTCAAATAAATATAAACACGCACACGCATACAAGAAAACTATAAGGAACAAATATAATGCTTGTAAAGTTTCAGAAACAGATATAACTCAACTCACCAGTTGTAATGTGTTGTAGAAACTTATCTTCAAATCATGGCAAAGTTCCAAAGCTACAGCTCTTGTGCCCTCAGCACTTTGGACTATCTGCTCACCAAGCCCTACTAATTCATCCTGAACTATTTGAGACTTCCCTTGTAACCTGCATAGATGGAAGAAATAAAGGTGTTAAGAACTATGGTAATTGAAAATATACATTTGGCAGAAGGAAGAGATATATGCATTGAATCTTAAGCTGAGTAACAATTATATATATCACAACATTATGCTTAATTGTGTATGGTCATTGAACTGCAACAATTATCTTCAGAGCATTCTACAAGATAAAGAACCATACAAACAACAATTGGAAGCAAAAATGTCATATTCCACCAAGACAGGCCAAAGTCTAATGATTCATCAGCGGGACTTTAGTGAAACTTCACTCAGGAGATTTAAATAGCAAAAATAATGTAAAGAAATGCCTTTTGGTAAATTATTATGATTGCAATGCAAGATCATAAAATTTCAGCAAGAATAAGAAGATGCAAGAAATCATTTTCAGAAAAACTAAAGGCAACATATATTTTGTCACCAAAAATGGAAATGTTAGATAAACTAAAAAATTGATGAAATTCAATTAGTCATGCAACAAGTGGTAAGACATTTACCCAGAGAGGAGGTTTGGAACCCGGATTTTCATACACCTGCGAATCTGCTGCGCCAGATCATCCACCAAAATTATTCTGCCTAGCTTACTCTGAGGGCCTTCAGTCAGCATGGATTTGAGACTTCACTCTCTGCCTTTCATGCAGTTTCTAAGGAGCTCTCAGATCCAGACTGAGCAGAAGCAATAGATACTGATTGACCAATTAATACAACCCATTGGCTATCAGCTATTTTTGGTGGACCTCGGTTTAAAAGGAGAGCCTGAATAGCAGCGAGAGCTTTCAGGTCCGCAGAAGCTTGATCTATTTTACTTATTACACCTATGGTTCTGGTTCTTAACATTAACATAATAAGCTTCCGATTTACAGAACAAATAAATAAAGAGCCAATGTAAAAACAGGGGAAAAAGAGATGGGAAACAGGGAAGGGAATTGATGTGCATACGGTTTCAAAGTGTACTGCCTGACATGCACTAGTGGATAGAAGTTCATGAAATTAAAACTAGGACATCTGAGAGAAAAAATTTCAACATTTACCCTAATGAGCATTTTAAAATGATATAAAAGGTTACACCCATTTACATTCTCCATCATACTCCTTGGCTACTCTGAGAGCTCGAGATGAAGAAATTTCAGGTGACTGGGCAGCAGGAATCATAACTAGTAAAATGGCATCATTGTGCTCAGCATAGTCGCTAACCTATGCAAGTGACATCACAAAAAAAAATAAAAAAATAGAAACCCGGTAATTATTATTTATTCACCATTCTAAATAAAAGCAAACTAGCAACAAAATGTTTCCTTCATTGAGATACATGCAAAGAGCGTCTATCAAAACAATAATGACTACTGGGCCAGATAATTAATAATGCAGATCAAGTCTAAAACCATTAACAAACACTCAACATTGACTCATCCATGATACGTTGATCCAGTCCAGGTAAGTCGATTAACTTCAAGGGAGGTGCTGCAAAAGCCAGATTAGACAAAATCATGAGATGTAGCAACCAAAAATGTAATAAGGAATTAATCTACTAACATGCAGAAAACCACAGCATAGACTGAATCACATAACTATAAATCACAACAAAAACAGAAAGGTTGTGCCTAACAGGAGATAAAATCTAGCAAACTCTAAACAGCAGATCACACAAGCTTTAAGCTGCATGCAATCCAACATTTTCTTAAAGATCTGAACCAGCGTACACAACAAAAATTCAGATTGCCAAATTTACAAATAAATTGTACTTTCATTACTATAACAGTTCATCCCTAACAGAGATTCTACAAAGAAGTACGCATAAACATAAATGATTGATCATCAAACAACCAGAAATTTTATATAAAATATAGTTTACATATATAGTGGCATAAAATACATCAGAATTTAAAAGCCCATATCACAATCAACTCAAAACCATAAATTCGAGAGCAGATACTTTGGAAATTTCATAATTAATCTAGTTTGGTTTTTCACAAGAACATTCTACAAGATGGTTTTACCTCTTAGCATTAAACTAAATGACCCATCACTAAAATTACAGATCTCATACTTATTGCAATTCTCTAGAAGTTTAGGGGGAATTCAATCACTAAATTTATCTTTGCACTATCTTAATAACCAATAACAAATGACCCATCTATTTATCATTATCTTTTAACTTACATGTTCATTAATGCTTCTAGAACATTTATAAGTTTTAACAAGATACTGAGACTAAATTTCATAAATCATTGGGCAATCTCTCGAGTTTGAATATCCAATTGAGATCTAGAAAGTAAGCAGTTGAAGAGATTTGAACTTACTGAACCCTCTTGGGAGACTCTAAAGCCTTGAACATCTATATATGAAGATACAATATACATAGTTTCAACGGATGTTGGATCAAAGGAAATTGAATTATTGTAGTTCCATCTAAATATAAATGTCGCATGTTACATGGGAAAATTTGAGTTGTCTTGAGAATTGAACAGCGAAAGAGAATAACTTCATCAAGAGATTCTGAGTGAATGTGACTTGGAAGACTGGTAAGGCTTTTGCAATTTTGTAAATTAAGTATAACAAGTTTATTGAGAGATTCAATCAAACTTGTACACTCTTAAAGAATCAAACTCCTAAGATTTGGTGCTAGTGAGAGGCCCGGGATCTTGGTTAGTTTGAGGAGCAAATAACACTATTGAATTAAAATATATATTATTTACCTGGATACCAGTTGTTCAATTGTACTATGAGGCATGACAAGCGCAACAAGATTGTTTGGATGAAATCTTGAAGGCAATGATTTCAAGGGATATCCATTCCAGCGAAAATATGCAAGATGAATGGAATCAAATTCCTGAATTTGAGAAGCATCCACCTTACTAGACTTTGAGAAGCATGAGCAATAGGAGATTTGATTTGTCTTCCGCTCTCCTTTCCTTATCTTCTGCTCTCTCCCCCATCCTCTTTCTCCCCACTATCATCTTTCTTCCTTCCTCCCCTCCCCTCCCCTCCCCTCGATTATATAAAGGAATAAAATCATTATATTTTATTTTCTTATTTTTATAATATTATTAATTTCATTGAATAGAGTAAATAGTGATAGACTTAATAACAAAACTAAAAATATCACCAAAATTCATACAAGTTGGTGATGAAAACCCTTTGTAATTAGACAAGCCTTGTATTGTGTTATTGTCCATGTTATTACTGATGTTCGGTGGTTTTGTTATTTATTGTGTGAGCTTGATATTCCTTTGTATTCTTCTCCATTGTTTAACTGTAACAATCAATCCGTTCTGCATATGGCAACTAATTTTGTCTTTCATACTCACACTCGACATATCGATATCGACTTGTACTTCATTGGTGAGTTAGTTGCCCACGATGCTCTTCGTCTTCATCGTGTCCCTATTGCCTCTCAACTTGCAGATATATTCACCAAAAGCCTATCTTGTGAGCGATTTCAATCACTTTGTCTCTAATTGTAGCTCCGAGATCAGAGCTACCGCTTTAGTTGCGGAGGAGTATTAAGGAATAAAATCAATTTGATTGTATTTTCTACAATATATAGGTTAAACATAATTTATACAAAGAAATACAGTCATTCAAATAATAAAATTAATCATAAATAGGAAAGACAATATTATAATAATCATGATAATAAAGAAATAAAATCATAATTAATAACTCCTGAATTCTACTCAGCTTGGCCCATTGCATTAATTTCATCCTTTGTTCTTAAAACGATAATTGGGAAAAGGATTAAAACTTATTACATTTTCATGATTGTCATCTTCCATTTATTGAGATCAACTCCCAAAAATAGTTTTATTCTTAAAAGAGTATTCTAAACGTAAAAAACAGGATTCTGAATTTTAAGAAAGAATTATTATTTTTTTCTAATATTTGGGAAGTATTAAGAGATTAAATGTCTTTTTCTGGTAAGTATTAAGAGATTAAATTTTAAAAAATATTGTTTTAGAAAGTTGTTATTGGGGCTCATAAAGAACTCTCCTCTCCTCTTCTCTATATATATATATATATATAACACAAAAAAGTACAAGTATAGGTTTTTCCTTTGAAGATCAATTGAATTCTTCAAGTTATTAAAGTTGTGGTTCACTTCATCATCAGAAGTGGCCACTTCATTGGGCTTTGCCCCATCATTGTTAACAGGGCTTTGTGTAGTTTGGCAATGACACCATTGTTGAACCATCAAAAGTTTGAGAGAATTCATTAGCAATTGGATTGAACTCTTCCACTTCTTTCTCATTGAGAGGCACCCCAGACCTTTTTCACAATAAAATTGAACCAAAATGGAAAACAGAAGCATATTAAACATCATGATCAAACAATATAATGAAGAAATAATCAATACAGTTCATGTATATATATAGCCAACGTGTAATATCACTAACAAGATCGCTTTATTGTAAATTACAAATCTTTCCCATATTCAAAATTTTGAAACCGTACATAGAAAAGAAAGAAAAGGATCAGAATCAATCTAGTCTTCATATGAGTACATTTTGATGACACATTTTAGCATAGGTCACAGCAAAATTTAAATTTCTCTGACAATAATTTAGAAATACAAGATATATAATGTTTTCTAATAGAACTTCAGTACATGGTAACGGCACGTTTAGTTTTTGTTTTATATTGTACTAATTAGTTTTTATATTTTTTAAATAATATTATTTAACTAATTAATTAAGAGGATAAAATATGAATTTGCTAAATAATATAAAATAACCAAACTCACCTTTCCACGTTATATTGGTTATGTTATTAACCACATAAACTTTCAATTAGTAAATACAATGAAAAATTTAACCATACATATGTTTTAACATACGCATACATATGTGGCCTAAATAATTAATAGAACATAAGTTTTGAATTATTTAAGGCAAATTATTTTTTTATTTTGTTTAGTGCACATGGTCAGGTGCGAATATTATCAATTATCCAGAGACTCAATTAATTAGCATATAAATTCAAATTACATAAAAAATGCAATAAAAGCTTTAAGTTTGATAAATAACTTGAAATCCATGTTACTTGATATAGAAGAATGTTTCCTCTTTGTAATAATGACCAGAAAGGTTATTCTCTTGATTTCGACTATAACACAAAGTAAAGATACAAATTTAAATGCAAAGCATACTAAGCATTTTAATTATAGTTTCCCAGTTAAAATTGCGACTAAGAGGAAGATAATCACCATAGCAAATAAAATTGAGAATTATAAAAAATAAAGAATGACCATGACAATACATAAATAATCACAATAACATTAACGATGATGTAGTATATCATTATTATATTATCATTATTATTTAGTTAAATTTATATTTCCCTTAACAATGGTGATGGCTGACTGAGATTTATATTTTTTATTATCTTTAATATGAATCATGAATTACATCTACTTAAATTTTACTCACTATGAACCTCAGATTTCCCAAGTCATATAAACATATAAATTAAGATATTTGACACCAAATATATAATCATTAGAAAATTAAAGAGAAAAATATGAGGTACAAAAACTATAGAATTAACTACAAAGCGAAATCTAAAATATTCTTTACCTCATGCTGGATTCACCCATAATAAAATTTGGAGATTTCAGTCTCTTAGAGATTGGCTCTCTAGCTCTCCCATAATCAGAGATGAAGCGTCTCCTGGATCTGGATTCTTCCACTGCCTTCCCCATAATCAAACACTTTTTTATCTTGCAATAATCTGATTTACATTGTGCCATAAATCAGAGTTGCTTTGAAGATCATGATGGCCTCTCTATAAATGTAATTGTAGTTGTAAACAATATTTTCATATCCATGTATAGATTATCTGACTCAATATGGTTGGATCTACAGTGTTTATCCAAACCCCAAAAAATCCAAAGGCAACCTCTCCAACCATCTTGACATATCACGTGCAACTCATACTCAACATTCAATGGTCGCTTTTCAAAATGATAATTTTGGAATTTAAAACAACGCAAAAGGCAGAACCATAATGATTCAATGAAAACGTGGTAGCTTTACTAAAGATTCATACTTTGAAAGTTAAACCACTTTGGAATTTCGCTCCAGGATAGTAATATAACTCCTTAGCGTGTTATGGAATCCCTGACCATGAAAGTAGTTAGGTTAGCATCGTATCTCTTTTTACTAAAAACATAATGAAAGAAATTGAAATCATATGAAATGAGAAGAAGTGAAAAAGACCTTTCTGCATTTTAATTGTTGAAATGATTTATGAAGCTAACTCCACTGTCGACATGATTTGGTAAACATGATAATGCCTGCAATCGCCACAACCTTGTGAAAGGTCAAAATCATTCATCTATTATGAGAAGGAAAAGAGATTTCAACCATAGATCTTGCGATATGATGATGAATAGCATACTCTTTCTTGAAAAGAGGGTGTCTTCCAAGGCCTGAGAGTAGCTTTGCAGAAGCGGAAACTTTATTAACCAAGACACAGTGTACCTGTTTTTCATGAGTAACAACAGAAACAAGAACAAGTTATGATTTTCACTGTCATCCAATTAAAGTGCATAGAATGTAGTAACTGTACGTAAAAATTTAATCGACTCCAAGTAAGATAAAGTTAGCAAACAACGTTACAGCGATGGAAATCTTATTGAACAAGTATACACAGTAAGCATGTGACCTTGGAATAACAATGTAAAAGAGAAGGTAATGTGTGAAACATGAAAGTAATACCACTTGAATGTTCCATATAGGCATCCAACAAGAAGTATACAACTTATGATAGGAATATGGAGATTCCATAACAGGTCAGAAGCTAAAAATTATGGTAAAAACATGGCATCCACACCTTAAAAGGGAAGAGTAACAAGTGTGGGAGCATTTAAATGCAGTTAGAAGGTTAATAACGATCTGCTTCTAACACAATCTGATTGAAGATGAACATAATTAAGAAGTTTAAAACTGAAAATCCTGAAACAATTACACGTGAATTAAAAGAAGTAGCAACATACCCTCTTGACATTATTGATGTCGAAATGTCTGTCCAAAGGAAGTGCTTGATCTTGTTAGGAAAAGTCCCCTCAAAACTTGCAACAATTTTCCAACGGAACCCTGGAACCAAAAATTGCTATCACAGCTGATATTCTCAATATAGGAATTTATACATAACCCGAGATTTATCAATTATACATGCTCTGGAACATATAAGAACCGATAATGAAAAGAAAGAGGAACATAATTACAAGCATTGAAGTCCCATTTACACCCACTTTTGTTACGAAGATCAAATCATATAAAACACTTTAATGCACTAGGTACACATCAACTAACAAAGAATTTGAGGAAAAAACAACTGCTTCAGGGACCAAAAACAAGCAGTAATTTTCTTTCTAATTTTTTGATATAAAGCAACACATGAATGGTTAGCAAAAAAGATAAGAAAATTACCATATATATGGAATAGCTGTCCCCGAGGACCAAAAGAAAAAAATCATAGGTCCCCTAAAATCTGTGTACCAAAACTGAATCAAAAGAGAAAAGGGCAAACACTTAAACACCTTTCTCTGGAACAAGAGAACGAATTGTTTGAAAAATCCTTTTTATACAATCACCTAATCCCTGCCAGCTTCAAAGCCAGTAGGAAGGAAGAGCTTGACCTCTTAGTATTCATTAAGAAGCTTCCCACAAAACATAAATGAGCAGTAACTTTATTGGAACAAAGAAGGCATTGATAACACGTTCCTCATATTATGTCACTTTTTTTCCCCCTTGAATTCTTTATTTAAATTATTAAAAAAACAGTCAATTATGAATTGGCGTGGACTGAACAACAATTTCAAAAAATAAACACGCACACGCATACAAGGAAACTATAAGGAACAAATATAATGCTTGTAAAGTTTCAGAAACAGATATAACTCAACTCACCAGTTGTAATGTGTGTAGAAAATTATCTTCAAATCATGGCAAAGTTCCAAAGCTACAGCTCTTGTGCCCTCAGCACTTGGACTATCTGTCACCAAGCCCTACTAATTCATCCTGAACTATTTGAGACTCCCTTGTAACTGCTAGATGGAAGAAATAAAGGTGTTAAGAACTAGGGTAATTGAAAATATACATTTTGCAGAAGGAAGAGATATATGCATTGAATCTTAAGCTGAGTAACAATTATATATATCACAACATTATGCTTAATTGTGTATGGTCATTGAACTGCAAAACATTATCTCAGAGCATTCTACAAGATAAAGAACCAACAACAAACAATTGGAAGCAAAAATGTCATATTCCACCCAGACAGGCCAAGTCTAATGATTCATCAGCGGGACTTTAGTGAAACTTCACAGGAGATTTAAATAGCAAAAATAATGTAAAGAAAGCCTTTGGTAAATTATGATTGCAATGCAAGATCATAAAATTCAGCAAGAATAAGAAGATGCAAGAAATCATTTTCAGAAAACTAAAGGCAACATATATTTTGTCACCAAAAATGGAAATGTTAGATAAACTAAAAAATTGATGAAATTCAATTAGTCATGCAACAAGTGGTAAGACATTTACCCAGAGAGGAGGTTTGGAACCCGGATTTTCATACACTGCGAATCTGCTGCGCCAGATCATCCACCAAAATTATTCTGCCTAACTTACTCTGAGGGGCTTCAGTCAGTATGGATTTGAGACTTCACTCTCTGCCTTCCATGCAGTTTCTAAGGAGCTCTCAGATCCAGAAGAGAAAGCAATAGATACTGATTGACCAATTAATACAACCCATTGGATATCAGCTGTTTTTGGTGGACCTTGGTTTAAAAGGAGAGCCTCAACAGCAGAGAGCTTTGGGTCCGCAGAAGTGATCCCTTTACTTATTACACCTATGGTTTGGTTCTAACATAACATAACAAGCTTCCGATTTACAGAACAAATAAATAAAGAGCCAATGTAAAAACAGGGGAAAAAGAGATGGGAAACGGGAAGGGAATTGATGTGCATACGGTTTCAAAGTGTACTGCCGACATGCACTAGTGGATAGAAGTTCATGAAATTAAAACTAGGACATCTGAGAGAAAAAATTTCAACATTTACCTAATGAGCATTTTTAAATGATATAAAAGGTTACACCCATTTACATTCTCCATCATACTCCTTGGCTACTCTGAGAGTCGAGATGAAGAAATTTCAGGGTGACTGGGCAGCAGGAATCATAACTAGTAAAATGGCATCATTGTGCTCAGCATAGTCGCTAACCTATGCAAGTGACATCACAAAAAAAATAAAAATAGAAACCTGGTAATATTATTATTCACCATTCTAAATAAAAGCAAACTAGCAACAAAAGTTTCCTTCATTGAGATACATGCAAAAAGCGTCTATCAAAACAAAATGACTACTGGGCCAGATAATTAATAATGCAGATCAAGTCTAAAACCATTAACAAACACTCAACATTGACTCATCCATGATACGTTGATCCAGTCCAGGTAAGTCGATTAACTTCAAGGGAGGTGCTGCAAAAGCAGATTAGACAAAATCATTGCTTTTTAAAATCTTTTCGAGCTTTTTAACGGATTTCTTACCCCTCTGGCAATGATCCTTTAAAGTCTTCAAGTGGTTTACTGAGTGAAAAAGTTTGCTTTGTCATTGAGTTTGGGTGCTCTACTCCCTTTTGAAGAAACTCATATGGGTCAAATGGATACTCAATTGTTGGCATCTTCACTTGCTGGCAAATCTTCTCAGGTTATTGTCTTTTTCTTTTGCTTTCTCTTGTTTATGCTTACTGTTTTTCTTATGCGATTTACTTCTTCTTTACTTGTTTTGTTATATTTTCTTGGTTCTAAGATTTGAAGCGCCTTAGTGCTGAAATTAGTAACATAGGACTTAGTAAAATATGATAATGAAAATATTCTTAAATAAATTTTCTTGTAGGGAGTAGGATGAGAGCAAAATCATGGTAAAATAGAGTACAATACAAAAGTTCACACATAAGCAGAATTTGATATTGGTCAAGGGCCATGGAATTCATTTTAATTGTATGCAGTCTTGGGAGATGAGCAGATGTTTGAAGGGTTGCATCCCATAAGCAATCACTTTTATGCAAAAAGGGTAAAGGTTGACAGCATCTCCCAATATATCATGCAAGCAGTTTTCTCACAAGCCTGTTGTTATTTCCCCATCAGGGCCGGCGTCTTTAAAGCAGAAACCTCATTGCTTCTTTCTCTGCTTGACCAGATTTCTCCTTGATTGATTTCAATGCGTTCCGTCTTTATAAAGTCATTTTCAATTATATCACAAAAAGGATCTCCTACAGTACTGTTCAGTATTGCTTGCTCTGCCTCATGTTCTTTCTTCGAAGTTAATTCTTCACTTCCTCTCAGCTCTGTCTTTCCATCCTAATAAAAACGTACAAACAGATATTAGATAACTGCAGTGAGCATTTGGGAAAATAACCCTGCAAACATTCAAATAATGTTGAGAAATGATTAACACCACAAGCATAAGTTGATAGGAACTGGCTATCTATGGTCTTTGTACACTGACAGACCACCTTACATCTAGAACAAAATTTAATAAGTGGAATTGTTACATTTGGATCCAAACACGAGCCCAACTTGCTCATAATCTAATAAATAAAACCTCCTAGTCAACCTAGCTTTGGAGGAAATCACAGTCCAAAATTTTAAGCTAATAAGAAGAACCCCAAAAAATGGCATTTAAACTCCTCTGAATGGATTCACAATTATTATTACACATAATATTTCAGCCAAACAGAATTAAGAATACAAGTTAGAAGCTAAGAAGTTAAATTATGGTAAAAAAAATAGACATTCAACCCCTTAAATGGACTTAGAAGCACATGGTACCATGTAACTCTTCAACAAAAGACATGATGGTACCTTAGCCCTTTTCTGGGAATATGAGATATATGGTTCATGGCCATCTGCTTCTGACACAATCTGATAGAAAATGAACATAATATCCATCCAAAGGAAGCTGAATTGGAATAAGCGGCAGCTCATGGTTCTCCAACTATAAATATAGACTTAAAAATAACAACTTAAGATTATGGTTGTGGTGTTACCAGAAAATGTTGCAGAAAATAACAAATACTCTCGTGACAGTATTGATGTCAAAATGTCCGTCCAAAGGAAGCTGCTTGATCTTGTTCAGAAAGTACCCTCAAAACAGGCAAAAATTTCCAACCAATACCCTGAAACAAAAAATTGCTATCACAACTGAGATTTCTAAACCCAAGAACTTTATATATCTAACTCAGATGTATTTAGATTTACATGCTTTTGATCATATAAGGGGGGAAAAAAGCAAAAGGAACATAATTGATACATCTAAATCAGAACATAATTAATAACAAGCATTGAAGTCTCATTCAGAACTACTTTCATCACACCGATCTAAATCAGATAAGGGGCTTCCTCGTTACAAGTATTGGATCGTTTTCCATTAAATGTCAGGCAAAGCCACCCCGTACGAATCATTCGCTAGGTAAACTCATCAATGGTTTCAAAGATTTCCGTATTATAAGCATAAACTAAGAAATAACAACTTAGGATTACTTTTGCTATTACCAAAAAATGTTTGCATAACCAACAATGGGTTGGCCGAGTGGTAAAGGCTTGGGGCCAAGGGGTTTGCTCCTCTGTAGTCTCAGGTCCGAATCACAAGAATGACTGCTAATATTGTTGGTCAAGGACAACAAAGCTTTTTTTGTTTCGGAAGCCTTGTTCGGGGTCGAGGGACTAGTCAAGCTGCGCGTAAGCTGGCCTAGACACCCTCAGTAACAAAACAAAAAAAAAAAAAAAAAAAAATGTTGCATAAAATACAAGTCCCATATCCTTATTTTGACAACTATTATTCTTTTGATCACCAGAAAATATCACTCATCTGCTACACCTATTGAACATTAATGAACATAATTACCTTATATGATACATCTAAACTATAAGCAATCTAACTTAGAAATCGTGAGCAAAATTAGATAGAATAGGGTTAGAAAGAAAATTAGACTTACCTCTCTCTCTCTCTCTCTCTCTCTATATATATATATATATATATACACACAACAAAAGTACAAGATATAGGTTTTTCCCTTTAGAAGATCAATTGAATTCTTCAAGTTATTAAAGTTGTGGTTCATCTTCATCATCAGAAGTGGCCACTTCCATTGGGCTTTGCCCCATCATTGTTAACAGGGCTTTGTGTAGTTCTGGCAATGACATCCATTGTTGAACCATCAAAAGTTTGAGAGAATTCATTAGCACTTGGATTGAACTCTTCCACTTCTTTCTCATTTAGCAGAGGCACCCCAGACCTTTTTCACATAAAATTGAATCCAAAATGGGAAAACAGAAGCATATTAAACATCATGATCAAACAATATAATGAAGAAATAATCAATACAGTTCATGTATATATATAGCCAACTGTGTATATATACACTAACAAGATCGCTTTATTGTAAATTACAAGATCTTTCCCATATTCAAAATTTTGAAACCGTACATTAGAAAAAGAAAGAAAAGGATCAGAATCAACTCTCTAGTCTTCATATGAGTACATTTTGATGACACATTTTAGCATAGGTCACAGCAAAATTTAAATTTCTCTGACAATTAATTTAGAAATACAAGATATATAATGTTTTCTAATAGAACTTCAGTACATGGTAACGGCACGTTTAGTTTTTTGTTTTATATTGTACTAATTAGTTTTTATTATTTTTTAAATAATATTATTTAACTAATTAATTAAGAGGATAAAATATGAATTTGCTAAATAATATAACATAACCTAAACTCACCTTTCCACGTTATATTGGTTATGTATATTAACCACATAAACTTTCAATTAGTAAATACAATGAAAAAATTTAACCATACATATGTTTTCTAACATACGCATATCATATGTGGCCTAAGTATAATTAATAGAACATAAGTTTTGAATTAATTAAGGCAAATTATCGTTCATCATCATAGATGAAAAATCTTCTAGATCTAGATTCTTCTACGGCTTTTAGCGCACTTGTGTGGGAAAGAAGTGGACTCCACACTTTTTTATCTTGCAAGACTTTGTCAGGTCATGTGTCCGAACTTGGAAGATTATCATGGCCTTACTATTGGTCTGAAATTACAAAATCTAATCCCAACCATACTGATCGGACTCAATAAGTTGGGTCCACTTCCTTTATTCCAAGCCCAACATATTCTTCAGGAAAACGTCCCCAATACAATTGTCCCAACATCTGTCCGTACGCGCAACTCATATCTAACATCAGTCATCGCAACCGTATCTTGGAATTCAAAAATGGTGCATAGGGCAAAACCGTAATATTATTTCAATGAACCTTGTGGTAGCCTATACAATATCCTACTTTGAAAGTTAAACCATTTGGAATCTCATTTCCAGGATAATAATATAACTGCCCTAATGCTACGGACACCCTGTACGACAAAAGTAGTTAGTTTAATTAATGTCATGTTTTTTTTTCATTTGAAAAAAGAAAGAAATGTTAAACAGAGAGAGAAAAGACCTCCATATTTGCCAACAGAAAGTGTTGTAGCGTGACTGCTACTGCTGGATGAATTCAAATCCAGATTTAAACAATTTATGAAGCGCTTTGAAGGATGCACGATTTGGTAAACCTGATAATTCTTGCAACGATGTGCAACTATGCGCTACTAAGATTTATATTACATGGGACTTAGGTAAGAATTGAAGCTTGTTACAGTAGCTTAAGTCAAGCCCAACAGCTCAGAAAGCTCTATGATGCTTGTTGGTATGCTCTCAAATTGTTTCCAACTAACGTTAATTTTCTAAACAATTGTAACGCCAAGGCAGTGTGGTAACTCTGTGATATTGGAGTGACTTAAACTTAAAGTGCGTAAACTGCAATCCTGGTAAAGTAGGTAATGGCGAACCTACCAGCTCACACTCTGACTTTCTCCAGGATAATCTACCAAGGTTGCTCAAACATAAAATTGAAGACACACTCTTAAGGATATCATTAGCTTCCAGCACTTCCAAACTTTGTAACTTTGCAAAGTCTTCAGGCAACCTGTCAAGTTTTGAACAACCAGAGATATCAAGATATTTAAGAGACTGCAGCTTACAATACCATCTGAAATTGTCTTCGATTTGAACAACCCCGTAGAATAAGGCGTTCAAGAGATTTCAACTCAAAAAAGTTGTTGGGCAGACACTCAAGCTTGAACAGTTCTCGAGATTCAATTCAACTAGTTTAGGAGCATATTCGATCAAAGAGGAATACTCTTTTATACCACTTCCATCCACACTGTTCCATATTACAGAGATCTTTGGAGCGTCATCAGATTTGAGCATCCAGGAGAATAACAAATCTAAGAGATTTTGATTGAATGCCAATAGAAGACTGCCAGGCTTTTGCAATTTCTTAGATTCAGATTAATAGTGAATTGACATTCTGAATAGATGGTGGAGTGTCTCTACAAACTTGGGCAGTCTTCCAGAATCAAGTTCTCAAGATTTGTGGCAAAGAGAGGTCTGGATTCTCTAGATATGTTGGAGAAGCTGAGTCCATAAACTTTAAATTTGCGAGATTCTGTTAAAAAGAAAATGAATAAAATTAGAAAATATGAAATATATATAACACATATTTATTTAAGAAGGAGCTAGGATTACAACATATACCCAACACCAGTCCAAAGTTGTTCAAGGTTGCTATGACACATTCTGTATATCAAGCACCTTGGATGAAATTCTAATGGCAATGATCTCTCAGGGTATTCATGCCACATAGTACCTTAGCTCTCCAAAATTAGATTCAAGGCGATGAAAACCAGCACCTTATTATGCTTTTCCTTGTCTGTATTCTTTTTATCAAATATCAAATTATGCATATTTGAGAAAGCACAAGGTCTTAGTGCATCTCTCTCATATAAACATGTCAAAGCATATGCCTCGCATTTTTTCCGTTCCCTAGGAAGATCAAATCATAAGTTAGCAATAATTATGAACCAGAAGCATTACATATATATATATATATATAATATATATATATATATATAGATATAATGCATAAATAATAAAAATAAATAAAATATAGTCAAGATACTTGTTACTAGATTTCACAATATAAAATAGAAAATTGAAGTTTGGCTTTTGGTCTCACCTTTTTGTGTTAATACACGGTGGATATCATGATGGTGCCACAATCGACTACGTTTACCAGATGATCAATAGATTCTTGCTTAACAATCTCCCTACCCATTGCTGAACAAATCATGCATGGTAATGAAGTTGCCTGTATAGTTATAAGAGCCTTTATCACTGAAACACTTGTTCCAATTGTGTATGCACCACAAGAATCCAATATTTCTTGACTACATATTTATTCCATCCTTTAAAGAAACATGCAATGTCTAGAAATAAATCCTTCTCTTCACATCCAAGCCATCATAACTTATCTTTAGTACCTTTTGAATATCTGTGGTGAGTAGATTTTTCTAATTTATCCAAAGCATTCCCAACATTGTCTTGGCCTATTTTGGAGATGTCGACCCAAGACTTTGAGAGCTAATGGACACCCTTTTGCACAACTTACTGCCCTGTTTGACAATTCTGTATAATCTACCAAGGGATCTTCTTGTTTAAAGGCACATTGACAAAAAAGTTTAAGAGCGTGGTTACCAAATAATCCGCAAACGTGGTATATTTGCCCACCCCACATTTTTGAGCACTTGTTTATCTCTTTGTAATGATATTGCTACCAAAACCCAAACATTTAAGATCTCGATTAATACTTCTATTTGCTCGAGAAGTCACGTCATCAAAAACAATAAAACCTTCTTATTGTGAAGCATATCATGTACAAATGGATTTCCCATATTAGGAGTACCAATGCAAAATTCTTATCCTCTATATAGCTGAAAGAAGTTTCACGTAGGTGGGTTAGTCCATTACGATTTTCTGATTCTTCCTAACATTTGGGCGAAGTAAGAACTTTCAAATTGACTTGGATTTTGTTATATATAGCACTGGCAATATTTGTCTTGCCTATACCACCGATGCCCCAAATTCCTACACTACAAACATCACTTATCCCCGTCCAAAGTGAAGATTCAATTTTTTTTATCATTGATTCTACTCCAACCAAGTCCTTGTAATCTCTGTGAACATACAGCCAATCTCTTCAAATATCTTGGACAATTTTCTCCATTATATTGATTCAGACCTAATATACAAACAACATAAGAACATGTAAGTATAAATAAATTAAGGTAGGGTGAATATAATAAGAAATTGA